TGGAAAAGCATAATTAAAAGCGATGAGAAGCATAACGAATGCAAACAATATATGCATATGGTTATGCCTAATGTTAACAAAATACTTGTAAAGCACCTTTATATTACTGTACGGCAACCTTATATAGATTATTAGAGCTTTATCACAAAATTCTCTCTTAATAAAAAATTGTTGTTCAACTATATAAGAGAATGTTGGTATCTAATTTGGACTTGTACTAGGAAATATTATATAGAATACATACCAAAAAGAGTGTAGTAGTGTAAACATTATCGCATAACTAGTCCCAATGATTCTTTGGTCTCCCATTCCACATTAGATCATTTGGAAGTTTAGCTCGTCCTCTTGCATGCGTTTCACATGACCAGTAGTGCCGATGTAACCGGTGCCTAAACTGATAGTACAACTTCACCATCTTCTTTTCAATGTATTCAATAATCTTTCGGATGGGATAGGTCCACCATAAATAATACCTATTACTGAACATAAATATATGCAAGTGAGTGTTTGAAATTACTATAAATAAATTGAATTAAATTCAGACTCACAAGCAACTTGAAAGGTAAATCTGCATCAGAGCTTGAGCACCTTCAATCCTGAAAATCATGAAAGTATAAGAATTTCATATATGTATATACAAAAGTAAATCTGCATCAAAGCATAATTAAATGGGAGCATAATATAGAAATTTTAAAGCTGACTTGTCAAATTATAGACGTAAAATCAATTTACTAGTTTCAGCTTCCTATCCCCCCAACAAAAGATTTTCCATGTATCAAATCACAGCTTCCTTATTCCCTAATTATTAACCTACTTATTAAAGTACTGGCATAACACATTTCTGCAACAACATTCATCATAACAAGTGCACCACCAAACTGGGAAGCCAAAAATGTTTACTTGTTATAATTCCAAGCCAAAAATATTTTAGTGTTCAACGAAAACCATTATGTGACGATTTCTTAAAAAAGCCTCACTTATTTTACCTAAATGTGATGAATTTTTAGCGCCACAAAAAATTTCATCACCTAATCTATGTTTTCTTGTATTTTCTAGTATATATGTGATGGGTAAACTTTTATTCGAGTGATACTGAGGGGATGGAATCCGAACACAAGACTCGAATACAAGGGTAAGCGCTCTTAACCAATATATGAACCCCTTGCATCGTTGGTTAACTTTATAATCAACGCATTTGAATTTATGTGGTTAATTTGAACTTTGGCCAATACATAAATTGCATTTGTTTCCACCATCACTTTCCTTTTGAACTTTTGGTTTATGATGAAAACAAGTGATTTTGTTTCGTTTTACGATGAGTTCAGTGTGTTTGTATAGTCTCAACCATCAGGAGGGGAGTCGAAGAAAGGAGCATTCATCAACCTCCATATAACAGAGAAAATCCGTAGATCCCATTAGTAACTTCGATGAGAATGCAATTGGATAGCCTGTCTCCCTTATCTTCGTATTGTTGTATGGCTTATTATATTAATACTCCATAAATTGTTGAATAAACCTCATATATTTAAAATACCCTACATTTGTTTTTTCAATTAAAAATTATATTAATACACCCCACATACTTCCCCATAATACCCTCACACCCTAAATTTTCAATATACATCTTACATTTTCTACATGCACCCTATATTTTCTATACACCTCACATTTCTCAAATCTTATAAGGGTTTTAATTTGGACAAAAAATACCGATTGGAATTTTGACAAAAGATGTCACTTGGGATTTAAAGTATATGTGGGTTGTTTTCAAATTCACCATTAAAACTCATGTTGTATGTTTTTAATATTTGGTGGTAATTTTAAGTGTTTAATTCTTCATGTAATTGTTGTGATCCCTAAAAGATGAATACGAACATAGAAGCTTGAATAACGTAGCAAAAGTAAGATTAAATAATTATTGATGTTGTCGAAATCACTAAAACAATAAAAAAAAAAATGAAGTCTTACTTCATGTGAAGCTTCCCAAACATCGATTTCGTGTTTTATTCGTTAAATATAATTTTTCTCAATCAACATGTTTGTAGTTTCATTGGTTAGGGTTTTGTTCAACAATGGAGGGTCGGAGGGGTTTTGATAGTTGAAGAAGATAAATAATACGTTAAAAGTGATTGAGGTGTATTTATAAATTTTTTTTTTAAATTGAATAAGGTCAAAATTGCCATTGCATATTAGGGTAAATAAGTCATTTAATATTAAATTTTAATGTGGGGTGCATTCAACATTTTGTGGGGTGTTAATATAAAAAGTCTTGTTGTATTTATAGAGTTCTCGAGTGACTTGGGCATGTAACTGAAAGGGCTTACACACCATAGGCAGTCTCCATAGGCCCATTTCACCACGGCAAGTGTTAGGACCCGTCCTTAATTTATAGTATTTTGATACTAAAAGTGTGAAATGACCAAAATGCCCTTAGAAGCGAGAATGTTGACTTTTGTTGACCTTTGTGTTGTGAGACGTATGAACCATTATTTTAGTGTCCTTATAGTACTCGACGTCACAAACGCATGGGTGCAAACGGAATTGAATTTGGAGCTACGATGGATATTTTACGGAACTACTAAGCTGAAGGGCAATTAAGTAAATTCACTATTCTAGATATTTTTGTGTATAGATTGAAGCCCTTTGTTCACCTTGTGAATAATTTAGTTTCTTTCTTTGAGGTTTATGTGTAACAAAATTTTTACTTTTTGTATATTGTGGAGGTTGAATTTTGTATGTTGTGAAAGTTGAATCTGTGCAAATCCATTTGTTCTTAATTTTTTGTGCATTTGGAGAATTTTGTTTCCTATTTTTTGTGTTTTTAGGTGGTGGTGCATAAGTTAATCTCTTTTGTTCTAAGTTGTAAATGATTTTCATTCCATGTTATATTGAGTTATGTTATTGCAGCTTTGAAAAGAGATGGAGGGTTTTTGTTTAGTCTGACAGAGGGGAAGATAAAGAGAGAAGTGGATTATGTGCATGAATATGGGGAATGTACTTATTTATTTCTGAGTGTTTGAATTTGAATTTTTATTTTTGTGGTTCACATGTATTCAAGTTGGATTGGTTTTTTGTGGTTTACCTCCACACCCAAAAAGTAAGTTAGCAACTATTCGATGCTCCCGGCCCCTCTACGAATTGAAATATGGTTTAAGATAATTAACCTTCTCGTCATTATATAAGAGTGCCTGACACTATATGATAATATCATACATATATTTCCTTTTACCATAATATAACTGGCAAGCCTCAAATTCTGCCGACATAGGAAGTCTTGCATTTATGGTAAGCTTTTCTTGCACATATTGGTTTATTATTAAGAGAAATGTTGATCAGGGAGTAGCCAACTCTCTACATGAAAAGTCCTTTAACTTTCCAAAGATGTGCTATTATTTAGAGAAAGTTGATCTACTTTTCATTGCACTTAAGTTTGAATAGAAGCTCAATACTTTACATATCTGCTATGAAGTGATTTCTACGTAAGCTTTTTCTTTCCTTACACACTCGTGTAATGTGTTTATTATTTGCAGTCTTTGAACGAATCAAAGGAGAAGAAACAAAACTAAATAGAGGTATGTATTTTTTGTTTATGGAAGATTTTAGTTTTATGTTTGAACGGTATACACATGCCTCTGTTCTACAATTATTGGCCTTATGCCCCAAATTATATTGGCCATTAAATGAAAGTTCGTCTCCCTTCACGTGCCTGATGACATAACCTTGTTGATGTCACTCTGCTATTGTTGTTGTCATCAGCCAAAGTTAAGAAGGATTCATGTTTGAGAAAAGAACGAAATGGTTTCTTGTATGAAATTATGAATATCACATTTCATTAATTCGTGCACAACTTGAGCTAGTGATTTATGCAAACTATTTGACTATTATAGCATGATTAAATTATTCTTTTACATCTTCCGTTAATTTATGTTATTTGGTCTTTTCAATTTATTTGATCATCTTCAATGACGCAACTTTCATTTGAATATCTTTGAGTTGAATAGTTTGGTTGTGTATATATGTTTCAATTTTATAAGTGTCCACTATATATTAAGTACAACCTGCACTAATATTGTCTTTAATTAACCACTTAGGCCTAATATATAGATGGTATCCAGCCCAATGAACCTCAACTATGAAGTCTTATCATCAAAAGACTCTGTGTAATTAGGAATTAACTACTTATATTTAATTTTTAAATTATTAGTGTACATCCCCAATGTGAAATGCCTCTCCACATCTGCTTATCTTGTATGGAGAGCCAACTTTGCACACCACAGTCTATACGGCTCCACTTGAGCAGTCGGTAATGAATTAAAGGGTTAATTCACAATTCCAAGGGGACGGCGCGTCAGCTTGGTTTGTTAAATCAGTTGGTTTTGTTTTTCAGACACTTGCCTGTAGAGACATAAAATATAAAAAATTTGTCTATAGAGACATGTTTCCGAATAATTGTATAGATGGACAATCCATGATTTGTTAGTTTTTTTTTTTAATGTCGAATATTTGTTAGTTTTATTGGGTTGTCTTATTATTAATTTTTTCTTTTTGTTATTGCCAAAATATCAAAATACCCAAAAAAAAAAAAATCCCTCTTTCAGTTGCGTAATGGGAAATGACAACTCTATAAAAATACTACAAGAATACAAGTTTATGACTTATTATTTGCAGATACTATTATTTTGCTCTATATTTTTCTCTCATCCCATGTTGATTAAAACAAAATATAAGAGGGTAGATAGAAGAAATTAATTTAATTTGACTGAACACACTCTTCATAAATATATAAAACAAAATTTAATTTTTTCGGGTGTATATATATATTTGCAATTCTTGGATTAATAATTTTCTCTATTATCTAGAATAGGTTTTATTGTTGTCATGTTTTCTCAATGCTTGGATTAATTTTCTCTACCATCGAAATTTTTTTTTATTGATGTGTCACTGATCATCATTTCGTTGTTAGCAATTACGATTTGGAGTAACAAACACATCAGCATTAAGTGGAAGGAAGCAACGAAGCTCCACAAAACCCTGGCATTCAGTTAGCAACTTCAATGAGTGAAGAGTTGGGTGATTTGACTCCCTTGTCCGCTTCGTGTTGCATCTACAAAGTTCCTGAACGACTACGGTGTGTAAATGAAAAGGCCTACACACCTCAAGTAGTCTCTATAGGTCCGATTCACCATGGCAAGAAAGGCTTAGAAGACATGGAAGAACACAAGAAGAGGTACCTGCAGTATTTTTTAAATCGGACTAAGGTCAGCTTGGAAGTTTATGTAACGAAAATACAGGTCAAGGAACCGGAACTGCGCAGTTGCCATGCGCACAACATTGGGTTGTGCAGTGATGAATTTGTAAGAATCATTCTTGTGGATGCCGCGTTCATCATTGAGCTCTTATTGAGGTACGAGGGGGATAACGAGCCCGATAGCGATGACCGCATCTTTGGCAAACCACGGTTGATAAATATTATAAGACCTGACATGCTTTTGCTTGAAAATCAACTGCCATTTTTCATTCTTGAGGATCTCTTTGCCACTGCGGAGGTGCCCGCTACGATGCCTTCAGTATTTGACCTCTCTTACAAGTTCTGCATGGCATCAAAAAGAGACGATTCGGGATCTTTTTCTAGTTTTAAAGTAGAGCATTTTGTTGATTTGATTAGAACTTTACATCTACCAACGGAGGAAGAGAAGTCAAAAAATCAAAGGGCACTCAAAACTCTACCTGTACCCAGCATGACGAAACTACACCAGGCTGGAGTCAAGTTTAAGGCAAGATCAAGCAATAATCTATTTGATATATGTTTCAAAGGCAGAAGTTTGGAAATTCCAAATCTAATAATACAGGATAACACGGAGCTTGTATGTACTCATGGAAATTCCAAATCTGATAATTTCAAAGGCAGAGTGTGTACTCCGAAACCTTGTTGCCTTTGAGCAATGCCATTGCGATTGCAACTACTTCAGTGATTATATCATCTTCATGGATTATTTGGTGAACACCCCAAATGACGTGGACTCTTAACATAGAGTATGGCTCTAAGTTCTTAAGAAGCACATCCTAAAAATATTGAAAACAAGTATGGACTCCATTGGAGCCGACCTCTGAGTTTCAATTGCCGATTTATGGATCTTCATGTGTGAACCACTAAATAGGGAACATTATCAAGTTGGGAACATTATCAGTGTCGTTATCAAGTTGGGAACATTATGGATCTTCATGTAGATTTCAATTGCCGATTGGACATGTGGTAATTATCAAGTTGGGAACATTATCAGTGTCGTTAGAGTGAGGTCCCGGACTTGTTGATCTAAAATTTCAATAGTCTCGTTTGTTTAGTGAGGGGCCGCATTTACATGCTTTCTTTCCATGCTCCTAACATTTACCTGTCCGAATATGAATCTGCGTTATGGTTTGTTTGCCTAATGAAATCTACATGCTTAAATCCATGTGTCATATGCCATATGAACTTATATCCATTTGTCTGAATTCGAAATTTGCATGCCTACCTGTCCGCTTGTCGGAGCCTACCTAATATTCGTAGTTTCATACCTTTTTTTGTTAGCTAGTTTGGTACCTTGATTTTCAATTGACTTCAAGCTAAAAGAAAAGGAAAAAAAAAAAAAATAGATTTCTGTGTACACTTTTTCTTTCCTTGCATACTCATATTTATTATTTATAGTCTTTGGACGAATAAAAGGAAAATAAACATCATTAAATAGGAGTGTGCATAAGCCAAAAAGAGGTGTTCGAAATTCATTTCTTAGAAAAGAAAAAAAAAAAAAAAGTATTTGCGTATTGGAGTTATGCGCAAAAATTGTTTTCCACGTTCCGATATTGCATTCAACTCATGCATTACTTTTCTGCACCAAATGGTTTATAGACATGGAAAAAATATAAGGGTAGATAGAACAAATTAATTCAATCCGACTAATGCCTGATTTGGTACTGAGATAATTCTGAAAAAAACTAGTATAAAAAAAAGCTGGGAGCTGTTTTTGTGTTTGGTAAACATTCAACTTCAGCTTTTTTTCATAGTTTTGGGTGAAAAAAAGCTAAAAACAAGAAGTTGCAAAACCCAGCTTTGAAAAACTGGTTTTTTTTTCACATCTGTTTTACATAAAAGTTTACCAAACACTATAATACTGCTTTTTTTTTTTCAAAAGCACTTTTACAAAAAAGTTTACCAAATATTCTGCTGCTTTATTTCACAGCTGCTTATTCTCACAGTACAGCAGAAGCAGCTTTTTTTCAAAGCACAAGCAATACCAAACCAGCCCTAAACCCACCCCTCATAAATATATAAAACAAAATCTACTTGTTAATTTTTTTGTTCTTATCTACAAAACCTAAATTTTCTTCCTTGTTTTTGACTTTGGAAACACTTCTTATTTTAACCTTGGGTAGAATTTTGTTCTGTCTTGCATGTTTTGACTGGAAGCTTGAGATCTATGAAGGAACACACTTTCTAGAAAAACATTGTTGAAAAACGAATTAAATTTGAATTTCATTGTATGTAAAAAACTTATTTACATATCCCTATTGCGTACTAAATGTGGAGACAAATGAAGTCTAAAAGAAAAGGTTTCGACGCACGGTGAAGCATTCTTATTTCTTCCTCTTAAAACATTTCAAACTTTCGTACCAGAGCCTTGACCCACAGCTTGAATATGAATCAACTTGATACTGGTGCAATATGCCTCTTTTCTACAATTATGGGCCTCATGGCCCCCAATTATTTATGTCTGTGAAATGAAAGTTCCTTAATTTCCACATGTAGAGATCATTATTGCCAGATGACGTAATATTGGTGATGTCACTCTGTTATTGATCGTTGTCAGCAACTAAGGGTTAAGGAGGATTCATGCAAACTGGTTGATTGTTATAGTTTGATTAAAATAATCTAACAGTACTACGTTAAAAATTATTGGAAAATTTGCTATAATAAAATTAATTTATATAATTTTAATTCATTCAATTCGACGATTAAAAATTGATAAGAGTGTGTAACAGATAAAAAAATGTGTGTAAATAGTACCACTCTTTCATTATTTGGTTGTTGAAATAGAAATAAGGATATGAACGATTGAATGATAGAGACAGATGATTGAAATGCCTAAAGTACCCTAGTTGAATTATATAGTTGTCTTTGCAAGCTAAATTGAGGTTGCTCCTCCATTCCACCACAAACATTGTCCAGGGCAAATTCTTCTGACTGGATTTTCTCTCATCGCTTTCATTCCCAGAGGCCAGTAAGCCCATCTCGCAGCAATTATTATTGCGCTATTGAGAGAATATTCCACAACATTTCTCTCATTAACATCATAAGTTACGAAGGCTAGCACAATATCAAGGCTCTTCCAAAATTGCGTTGTCAGACTGTCAAGTCATTAATTGGAGAACTAGTATCAACCACATGTTTACAGGTGAGGAAAGATAAGGGTAGGTAGCTAACATAACTCACGTCATTAATTTAATTGGTGATTTAAACACGTTCAACAGAAACATATTGAAGAAGAAATGGTTATATATAGCCAGCCTATAATTGTGCTATTGTTAAAAGAAAATTTATATATCATCTACCAGAGGAGCTATGTATTGAGTTTTCTTAGTCATCTACAAGAGGCAAATTCAACGTGCAAACTTGCTTGTTTTCTTGTATACAAAGCAGGTGAGAACTCACTTCATTTTTTTTTTTTCATTTTCAATGTGAAGTACTGTTATTGACACTTCGAAACATTAGCACGCACTCATTCTCAAAACAATAAATTTCACTTCTAAATGTGTTAGATGACTTATTTTTAGTACCTATAGAAACTCACTTCTCAATTTATAATCTTTCATCTGGCTTGTTTCTTCTCCCTGCTATGTTTGCACATATCGATTTTTTTGAAGCTTTTAGTTTCATATTTACCTGTTAAGGGAATGCTGCAGCTTTCTTGTTAATATCTTTTAATTGAATAGTTTGGTTGTGTACATATGTTTCAATTTTGTTTGAGCTGTGGATATATGTTTCACTTTTATAAGTGTCCATTATTAAGTACAATTGTACACTGATATTATATTTAATTAACCACTTAGGTGTAATATATGAATAGTATTCGAGCTTAATGAATTTTAACTGTTGGGTTTTATTACAAAATACTCCTAATATTTAAGACCAAACTTCTTATACTTAGATCTTCTTGTCGATGTACTTCCCCGACGTGGAATTCCTCTTCACATCCTCTTGGCTTGTTTTGATCCAAATTTACACCACCACATGGCTCCACCTGAGCAGTCGAAGATGAATTAAAAGGTTATGTCACAATCCCAAGGGACGTCACGTTGTTAAATCAATTAATTTTTTTTTTTTTAATTTCTTTTTTTTTTTGGGGGGTACAAAAATCTACTTATATGTAAAACGTACATTTTGTTTTTTGTGTTAAATCAATTAATTTTATATTTTTACTTTCTTTTTTTTGGGGGGGAGGGGGTGGCGGGGGAACAAAAATCTACTTATGTGTAAAACCTACATTTTGTTTTTTGTTTTTGCCTTTTCAATTTATGTATTTTTTGTTTTTTGAAGATTTAGCTTTTTACGTTTGAATGGTAGTTGGAAATTGAAATTATATTGTCCGTTAAATGAAAGTTCGTCTATCTTCACGCCTTGTTGATGTCACTCTGCTATTGTTGTTGTCTTCAGCCAAAGTTAAGAAGGATTCATGTTTGAGATAAGAACGAATTGGTTTCTTGTATGAATATCACATTTCATCAATTTGTGCACAACTTGAGCTAGTGATTTATGCAAACTAGTTAACTATTATAGCATGATTAAAATATTCTTCTACATCCTTCGTTAATGTATGTTACTTGATCATTTCAATTTATTTGATCATCTTCAATGATGCAGCTTTCATTTTAATATCTTTGAGTTGAATAGTTTGGCTGTGTATATATGTTTTATTTTTATAAGTAACCACTATTAAGTACAACCTGCACTAATATTATCTTCAATTAACTATTTAAGTCTAATATATAGATGGTGTCTGACTCAATGAACCTCAAATATGGAGTTTTAACATCAAAAGACTCCGTATATTTAGGAGTGAACTACTTATATTTAATTTTTAAATTATTAGTGTACTTCCCCAATGTGAAATGCCTCTCCACATCCTCTGATGTTGTATGGAGCCAACTTTACATACCAACATCTATTTGGCTCCACTTGAGCAGCCGGTGATGAATTAAAGGGTTATGTCACAATCCCACGGGAATGTCACGTCAGCTTGGTTTGTTAAATCAATCAGATTTGTTTTTTAAACACTTGCCTGGGTAGACATAAAATATATATTTTTTTGCGTATAGAGACATGCTTATTGTATAGATAGACAATTCAATGATTTGTTAATTTTAGTTTATTTTTACTGTCGAATATTTGTTAGTTTTATTGGGTAGTCTTTTTTTCTTTGTTGCCTAAATATCAAAATACCAAAAATAAAAAAGAAACTCTTTCAGCTGCAGGTGAGACATGACAACTCTATGAAAATACTACAAGAATACAAGTTTATGACTTATTATTTGCAGATACTACTATTTTGCTCTATATTTTTCTCTCATCTCACATTGATTAAAACCAAATATAACAGGATAGATAGAAGAAATTAATCCAATTTGACTAAACGCGCTCCTCACAAATATATAAAACAAAATTTAATTTTTTTGGGGGTATATATTTGCAATTCTTGGAATAATAATTTTCTCTATTATTTAGATTGGTTTTGATTGTGGTCATGTTTTCTCAATGCTTGAATTAATTTTCTCTGTTAGTGAATAATTTGTTTATTGATGTGTCAGTGATCATTATCTCATTGTCAGCAATTACGATTTGGAACAACAAACACATCAACATTAAATGGAAAGAAGCAACGAAGCTCCACAAAACCCTGGCATTCAGTTAGCAACTTCAATGAGTGAAGAGTTGGGTGATTTGACTCGCTTGTCCGCTTCGTGTTGCATCTACAAAGTTCCTGAACGACTACGGTGTGTAAATGAAAAGGCCTACACACCTCAAGTAGTCTCTATAGGTCCGATTCACCATGGTAAGAAAGGCTTAGAAGACATGGAAGAACACAAGAAGAGGTACCTGCAGCATTTTTTAAATCGGACTAAGGTCAGCTTGGAAGTTTATGTAACGAAAATACAGGTCAAGGAACCGGAACTGCGCAGTTGCTATGCGCACAACATTGGGTTGAGCAGTGATGAATTTGTAAGAATCATTCTTGTGGATGCCGCCTTCATCATTGAGCTCTTATTGAGGTATTGTTCCCCTATCCAGCTGGAGAGCAATGACGGCATCCTTAACAAACCATGGTTGAAAAAGTTTATAATACCTGACATGCTTTTGCTCGAAAATCAGCTGCCATTTTTCATTCTTGAGGATCTCTTTGCCACTGCGGAGGTGCTGGCGATGATGCCTTCAGTATTTGTCCTCTCTTACATTTTCTGCATGGAATCAACGAGTTTACATGTAAAAAGAGACGATTCGGGATCTTTTTCTAGTTTTAAAGTAGAGCATTTTGTTGATTTGATTAGAACTTTACATCTACCAACGGAGGAAGAGAACTCAAAATATCAAAGGCCATTCGAAGCTTCACCTGTACCCAGCATGACGACACTACACCAGGCTGGAGTCAAGTTTAAGGCAAGATCAAGCAATAATCTATTTGATATACGTTTCAAAGACGGAAGTTTGGAAATTCCAAATCTAATGATAGCGTATTCCACGGAGCTTTTACTCCGAAACCTTATTGCCTTTGAGCAATGCCATTGCGATTGCAACTACTTCAGTGATTATATCTTCCTCATGGATAATTTGGTGAACACCCCAAATGATGTGGAATTGCTTGTCAAGAATGGAATTGTTGAAAATCTGCTTGGTGACAAGAATAAGGTATCTACTCTGATTAACAGCCTTGGCAAAGGTGTTGTGTTTGACAAAGCATCATTCTATTATGCTACTCTTACAGCGGACATCAACAAGTACTACAAAAAGCCGTGGAACGAATGGAAGGCAAATCTGAAACAAAAATATTTCAACACAACTTGGGATACTATTTCTGTCATTGGTGCTCCTATAGCGATCATACTCACTTTCGTACAAACGGTGTGTTCTGTTTACCAAAGCGGTCAACGCTAAGTTTCCCATTTAAGTTCTAGTGTGCACAATATCTACTTGTTAATTTGCAGTTGCTTGTCTATGCATGAAATTTAAATAATATGTCTCCTTTGTACTTAAAATAAAATAAAATAAATAAATAATATGTTGAGGAAAAGTGTCATTGTAGCCTTTCATCATGGGAAAGGTCATAGTGAGATTCATGAGTTTCATTTGACTGCTCATCAATTTTTAATGTAGTGCTCACCAATTTCAAATTCAGGCATCCCAAGTGCTGAGCCAGAAAGCGCCAAATCTTAAAGGAACACTCAGAAGCTAGACACTCCTTTGCTTCATGTTGATAAACCCAACCTAAATTATAGACACAAAAAGTAGGAAGGGTCACAAAATTTTGTTCTTTCCTTTAATTTCCCCATTCTTTCCTTTATCGCATTCTCCCCTCAAATATCTCCCTTTATCGCATTCTTTCCTTTAATTTCCCAACCTTAATTTTGGTTCTCAAAAGTTTGTACATTTTTCCCCTTCATATAGACTTCACTAGCAATTTAGCCCGCGCAATGCTGCGGATTTTAAAACTAATTAAATGTGTGAAATATATATCAAAATCTATTACATATGTTCAATAAGGGTAAAAAGATGTTTGTAGAATATATTACATAGAAAAGGTATTTTGGTTACTTTTGACTTTGTTCTCTATTGCCACTAAGTACTTCACTCTTCTTTCTTCTTCGTTTTCCTGTATATGGGGTGTACATTTTTTAATATTACACCTTTCAAGTTCATATTATAAACCAAACAATGAATCAAGCAAAAACCACAACTTGGTGCCATCAACTAACAAACAAAAGGAAACCCAGTTAAACCCATATTGCAATCCAACTAAGCTCCCACATCTTAGGTCAGGATTGTCAAATAATTTATACATCGTCAATTTCATGTAAGACTATGTGCAATCCAAATCAGATTGTGATTTGGAAAATATCTGGATTCTTAAAAAGTTAAAGCAAAATATTTGCATTTTAATTACCAACTAATCAACCATATGACAACAAATCAAAACAAATTACCAATTTTAATCAACTCAAATTTGAATTCCATTAAAAAGATAATCAAAAGTAAATTCAGCAAAAGAAGCTTATTAAAATCGTATGTGAAATAGTTAGAGCAGTAAGCATAACACACCGGTCTGAGTTCTACCAGTATCTTTTGAACCTCGACCACTCTAACCTGCAAGAAAACCAATTAACCAATAAAAATCACCAAAAAAAAAGAATCCAAATTCCACAATAAGCAAAAAGAGTGAGAAAAATAGTGGCTACATTGAAGCCGTGGATTACAAAGTGAGTAGTAAGGATAACTTAAGTCATAGGAAGCTGCAAACTTAAGCAGCAGACTAACTAAATGAAAAGACCAGAGACACCTCCAACATTTCCACTATTTTGCTAATTGAAAAAGGTAGCGAAGGATGGTATGCACTAAGTTATATGGATTAAAATTAGTGTTGAAGGTGACTGTTTGGCTGTACAAATGTTTCTCCCCCTCCAGATATATAATTCTGGCAAATGTTCAACAAAAATATATGAATGTATGATGTACACATAACCCAAACATATCTAGTATCATCATGTGATGAAAGAAAAGAAACAAAAATATATATTATTATTTCATAAGAATTTGGTGTCTTCTGTTCTGCATTACTGGATAATTGTGAAGAATTTCAAAGGTTTGTAACATTCCATAGTCGTAAGGGATTCGTATATGGACAGAAGATGGAAAAAAAAATCAAAATCTTTTATTTTTATATATGCTTGTGAATTGAATTGTACAGCAAAGTTAATAAGATGTAAAGTAAGTGGTTCTTGACATCATAAATTCACCATATATGCAAGGTTGTATTACTGCATATACAGTCAATTTTCTGTCAGTGTCATGGTACAATATTGTATAACTAATTAATACAATTTTTTGCCTCTTAGTTGATCAATTTTTGAATTTTTAGGTATTAAATTATGTTTGAAAGATATGAAAGAGACAAAACATGAGCTCACCCATGTTCCTCCCGGAGGTTAATTATGCAGGATGGTTGTAACAAATCCCAAAACATGGAATTAAAGCACCAAAATAAAAAAATAAAGAAACAAATTAAAGTAAAAGATAAAGATGGACCCTTTTTGTATTACTAACAAACAGTATGCCAAGCTAAGAATAATTAATTGTCGGATTAATATGATTACTCATACCGGCTTTCCTTCGAGCTTGTGTCCACAACCGGGACACTACTTGGATCCTCACATCTAATGCTCTTCAAGCTTTTGTATCAATGAGATCGAACTTTTGATGGACCCAAAATTACTCTTACTCATTGCTCTTTTCAAATGAGATGCTATCTTCTTCTTTTCCTCGAACTCATCAACATATACCGTCTTCTGCGAAATTTTCATCATCCTTGTAAAAACCCCTAGTGCTCATATCCCAGCCGCTTTCTCTCTATACAAAATCATATACAACTTTGATTGAGATCTGCTGATGAATTATATGCACAAAAGGGTACTCTTAATAAAGAGTAATGAAAAACATATTTATGTTGGATTGATTCTGGGAATTTGGTCGAAGATCAAAATACGAACTAAATATCAAGCAAGAAGAACAACTTTATCAACTGCTTTAATATGAGCCAAAAGCGCTTTCTGCTTTCAGCATGATCTGGAAGTTGCAATGCTATCTATGAAGCGTTTGATACTCGTATTCCAGGGTCCAAAATGAATTAACTATTAAAATACAGATCTTTTAGGGATAGTTTTCAGCCATGCTTCCATAGAAATGAAAACTCAGAGCTTCTATTTGAAGCTAGTTAAAGTTAAAGAGATTATCATAATTCATTCAAATCTTTTGGTCCACGATCAAAAGAGCAAACCCTTCATAGATTTTTAGGCAACAATCAATAATAAATAAAATTAAGAGGAAACCAAATAAAAAAAATGGATATTTTAAGAACCAAAAACTCTGCAATCAAACAAAATATAATCTTCACAAAGTGTAGAGAAGAGAAGAGGAGAGTGAGGGGGCTTACTATCCTTCAAGGCAACCATAACCTTCAGATAAAATTCAGACCAAAAAAAGCCACAAATTTAACGAAAATTCGTGCACAACCCAGAAATTTAAAGGAAAAAAATCCACGAAAAATTAACTAAAACCCAATTATATTAACAAAAAATTTGAAGCAGATCTTTGAGTGCAATAGATGCAGAAGGTACCTGAGGTTCTGAAGAATAGTTTGAGACCAACCTCGACGCCGATCATCGCCGGAATCGTCACAAAAACGTCGGAAAACTCTGAGGAGTTTTCGAAAATCCTCGTCGAAACCCTAACGAATCGAGGCATGCGACTGGTGTTTCTTGTTCCTAAGATGAAAGGGAGACGATTGGTGAAACGGTGAGGTCCGATTCGCTGACAGTCGAAAGAAGAAAAGGAAGGGAGAAGGGAGAACGAAGAAAAGAGGATATAAAAAAAAAAAAAAAAAGTATATATAGTATGTAAAAATGATGGCATACCTGTAATAACACAAACTTAACATGGGTAAAAAGAAAATGACGGCATCACGGAGTTACAGCAGGCAGTAGTCAAGTTTAAAGTGGGATCGTCCGAAAACTAGCTTGCTATCATCATATGGATCATTTCGTGAACACTGAAAAGGATGAACAGTTGCTTGTTGAGCATGGAATAAGGAATTGCTGCAAAATACGTCTATTTTGCTACTCTTTGTGAAGACATCGGAATAGAAGATAAAGTTGCATGAGCTTGTTGAATACAACAACAAGAACAAATCCATTTTCGAGTGTATTCCTTAAATTACTTATCACGAAAATGACACTATTCTAGTTCTGTAGTCGATTACAAATCAAAGCAAGTATTTAGGTCATATAAACTTGCGAATGGAATAAACGAATAAAGCTACATGAACTTGTTGAATACAACAACAAGAATAAATCCATTTTCGAGTGTACCCTGTAAATTACTTATCACAAAAAGGACATTATTATAGTTCTGCAATCAACTACATAGTATTTAGGTCATGTAAACTCGAGAACTTACTAACCATAGCTAGTTGGTACTCACATCCTTTACTTTCCTTAGCCAAAATTAGTGTAAAGAATTTGATGAAAACTAATATTACATTTTAAGATTCTGAAATTAAGTACTACAAAAAGAAAAGCCTTTATTTACATCAACACCTCCTGAAATTCAACATTCCTTTTACTTTATCCCATGAAATACAAGAATTCAATTAATCAATAACAATACAAATGGTTTCTATAATTTCTCATTAGTAAATCCAATAAGGTCGGCCTCATTCACATGGTCGTTACATAGACCTTATTAACAATTGATCAGAATCCAAACTATTTCACAAAGAAGACACAAACACTATAATTCAGACGATCTAATTCAACCACAAATTCAGATGCCATAATTATTCAAATTTCAGTTTTGAATCACATACATATATACTTGATATGTTTTACGTTTTGTTTCTATTAGTCTATCTTGTGATTTTATATTATCATTACATCAATAATCTATTTGTAGATGCAACCTTGTTGATCTGTTTCCAACAACCTCCTTCAACGATCCAACTAACGGAGACTGGATTCAATAGACAAACTGATGATGAGCATCTCGTCGCTTCCGTAATTTATTCACTCTCTATATACTTATGGAATCCCTCGTGAGCATTGTGAAAGCATTGAAAATATGCACTTACGGGCTTATTCTACTATGGTCAAACTGTCAAAATGTGAAGGTAAAAGAGATTTACATTGATGAAAGAAGAAACATTGCAAGGGTTTATAAGAAGTTGAGCTACTTTCCATATTGTCAATTGATTTATCGTGGAACCTTAACTTTCTTTATGGTATCAGAGTAGGTTGGCCCACATTTGTGTCCCAACGGCCACATGTCACCAAATTCGTGTTGTCCACGTGTTTGGCTTGAAAAATCATCACATGTGAGCAGACATGTGAGAATGTGAATGTAAAAGAGCCTTACATTGATGAAGGGAGAAAGAAGTTGAGATACTTCCCATATTGTCATTGGTTTTGTGGTAGAACATCGACTTTCTTTACAAACAACCTTATTGGAAGGCAAATCTTTCTTCTTCTTTGTTCGTTTTTATGTTTGGAAAAATAGATGCATCCACTTTTCTGCTTCAATGATACTCATTCAAATTTAAATGCTTTAAAACTGGTTTAAGAATATGCGGATATTGCTTGCTCATATTGCAGAGCACCTCCGCACCCAAAGGTAAGTAACTATTCGATGCCATTATGTACTTTCTTGCCATTATATAAGAGTGACTGCGTCACTATATGACAATATCTAAAATATGGTTTAAGTATATAATTATTAACCTTCTCGCCATTACATATAAGAGTGCCCGTGTCATTATATGATAATACCATATAATATTTATTTTTACAATAATTTATAACCTGCAAGCCTCAAATTCTGCCGACAGAGGAAGTCTTCAAATTCTGGTAAGCTTTTCTTGCACATATGAGTTTATTACGAAGATAAATGTTAAGGAGATTCTCTTAAAAGCGAAAGAAATTTTTTTTCTACACCCGTAATACAAGTAGTACATCACATGTAATTATTTAAGTGGTGAGAAATTTTATTTTTATGTTATTAATTTTGTAACACAAGAATCTAACCACTTGCATAGAGACACGTAATATACCATTCCTTGTACCAGACACATTGAAAAATCATTTCAAAAGTGGGACCCTTCATGGACTCTCTGTCACCTTATGTTTTTGGTTCAATGTTTTATAACGATGGCACAAGAATTGTGCCAAAAATATGAAGTCACAGAGAATCTACCAAAAATTCCATTTTGATAGAATCTCTTTATCATTTTTCTATTATTAAAGTCGATTTGTAGGCCTTTAGACGATGTTATAAGGTACAATTATTTGTTCAGACTATTAAATTCAAAACAAGGAAAGGAATACAATAATTGGATTTCAAATTATTAGTCATTTCAACTACACCTAGTTATCTCAATTCTCAAATACACGTGTCATAATTTGACAAGAAAATATACATGCACTATAACATTTTCTATTTATTGTACTGAATTTGGCTTGGTTGCCAAAGCCACATATTTTCTTTTAAGTTTCTCCCTCCATATTTTCTTTTAAGTTTCTTCAAGGTATCCATGAATAGTTGGAATTTTTCTTAATCAAAATAAACTTTAATCATCCATGATTAATGATTGTAATTAAATAGCAAATAATGCTTGTTCCTCCGGAGAAGCTATTTATCTTCCACTTATAATTAATGTATCTTCAACTTATGAACTTCACAATTAAAACCGTTCACGATCTTTGTCATTATTTAAAAATCATATTTGCAACCAAAAAAAAAAAAAACATTCAATTTAGATATCGTTTTTTTGTCCATACGTGTCAAATCAATTAACGATTTTGAACATTGAATTATATCAACCATATATCTTTGTCATTATTTTATAGATATCGTCTTTTAATTTTACAAGTGTCTACTATTAAGTACAATCTGCATTAATATTATCTTCAATTAACCACTTAAGCCTAATATATAGATAGTATCCAGCTTTATGAACCTCAACTACAAAGTTTTTTATCAGAAGACTCGTGTAATTAAGAATGAACTACTTATATTTAACTTTTAAATTATTAGCGTACTTCTGCAATGTGCAATGGCTGTTCACATCCTCTTATCTTGTATAGAGCCAACTTTACGAGTCCAAATCTTTTGCACCCAAGAATCCATATGACCTCTCTGTGCCTTTTCTAATTTAGTTACATCTGGTTTTAACTTATCTTCAACTATAAACTAAATAATAAATAAAAAAACCTAGCATTGCATTAATCCCCACCCACCCCGACCCTACCTCGCCGGTGGACTTCCTCTCCTCCTCTCCTATCAGTGCCGGCGAGCACCGGTTCGTTGTCTTCTCTCTTTCTCTTTTTCTTCTTTTTTTTAATTTTTTTTTATTTTTAAATTTAGGTATTAATGTAAAAGGACAGCTGTCAACAAAAAAATGGCACAGAGAGGCCGAGGGGTTTTAGGGGCAGAAAATTTGGCGAAGAGATCCTCCCTATCAAAGTCCACTTGGATCAAGTGATTCGGATCTTTGAAATTTGATTAAACGGTTAAAAATAATTTTTTTAAAAAAGTTATAATAATTTTAGCCGTTTGATTAAATTTTAAGAATTCAAATCACTTAATCGTAGGTTTTGATGGAAGAAATCAGAAAATGATCTCTTTTCGAAAATTTGGACTCCAACTTTACACACTAACATTTATTTGCAACGGAAAAAGATCATCTCCGGATCTCTTCCACCTAATCATTCTTATCAAACAATCTGGACATTAAAATTTGATCCAACAACTAAAATTATTAAAATTTTTAAAATGAACCCTTATTTGTATCCGTTAGATCAAATTTCAAGGATCCAAATTATTTGTTGAGTAGGATTATGTGAAAGGGATTAAGAAATAACCCCTTTCCATTTGGCGCCACTTGAGCATTGGGGGATGAATTCAAGGTTTAAGTCACAATCCTAATGGGACGTCACGTCAGCTTGGTTTATTAAATCAATTAGTTTTGCTTTTGTAGACACGTAGGGACATAAAATAAAATAAAAATTGCCTGTGGGTTTCCGAATAATTGTATGGACAATTCAATGATTTGTTAGTGTTTTCATTGTCGAATATTTGTTAGTTTTGGGTTGTCTTTTTATTTTTTTTGGCGAAAATATCAAAATACCAAAAAAAAAAATAAAAAATAATAATTCTCTCTTTCAATTGCGTGGTGGGACATGATAGCTCTAGGAAAATACTACAAGAATACAAGTTTATTACTTTTATTTGCGGATACTAGTATTTTGCTCTATATTTTTCTCTCATTCCAAGTGGATTAAAACAAAATATAAAAGGGTAGATAGAAGAAATTAATTCAATCTGACTAAACGCTCTCCTAATAAATATATAAAACAAAATTTAATTCTTTATATTTGCAATTCCTTGATTAATAATTTTCTTTATTATCTAGATTAATTTTTGTTGTTGTCATGTTTCTCAATGCCTGGATTAATTTTCTCTATAACCGAAGAATTTGTTTATTAATGTGTCAGTAATCATCATCTCGTTGTTAGCAATTACGATTTGGAACAACAAACACATCGGCATTAAATGGAAGGAAACAGCCAAGCTCATGACATCGAAAACCCTTACATTTCCGTTTGCAACTTCAATGAGTCAGGAGTTAGATGGCTTGCCTACCTTGTCCAATTCGTGTTGTATCTACAGAGTTCCTGAACAACTACGGTGTGTAAATGAAAAGGCCTACACACCTCAACTAGTCTCTATAGGTCCGCTTCACCATGGCAAGGAAGGCTTAAAAGACATGGAAGAACAGAAGAAGAGGTATCTGCGGTATTTTTTACGTCGGACTAAGGTCAGCTTGGAAGATTATGTTAAGAAAATCAAGGGCAAGGAAGCGGAATTGCGCAATTGCTATGCGCACACCATTGAGTTGTGCAGTAACAAATTTGTAAGAATCATTCTTGTGGATGCCGCGTTCATCATTGAGTTCTTATTGAGGGTCCAGAAGCATATCGTGCCGGATAGCAATGACCGCATCTTTCACAAACCACGGTTGATAAATTATTTAGTACCTGACATGCTTTTGCTTGAAAATCAGCTGCCATTTTTCATTCTTGAGGATCTCTTTGCCACTGCGGAGGTGCCGAGGACGACAATATTTGACCTCTCTTACACTTTCTGCAAGGTATCAACGAGTTCATATGTGAAAAGAGACGGTTCGGGATCTTCTTCTAGTTCTAAAGTAGAGCATTTTGTTGATTTGATTAGAACCTTAAATCTACCAACGGATCAGGAAGAGAAAGAAAATCGAGGGTCAGTCGAAACTCTAGCTGTACCCTGCATGACGGAACTACACCAAGCTGGCATCAAGTTTAAGGTGAGATCAAGCAAGAATCTATTTGATATGTGTTTTCAAGACGGGATTTTGGAAATTCCAAATCTAAATATATCCGATAGCACGGAGCTTGTACTCCGAAACCTTATTGCCTTTGAGCAATGCCATTGCGTTCCGAATTGCAACTACTTCAGTGATTATATCGTGCTCATGGATAATTTTGTGAACACCCCAAATGATGTGGAATTGCTTGTCAAGAATGGAATTGTTGAAAATCTGCTTGGTAACAACAATGAGGTGTCTACTCTGTTTAACAGCCTTGGCAAAGGTAATTTGGTTAGCAGAAACGGATTCTATTATGCTACTCTTACAAAGGGCCTCAACAAGTACTACAAAAAGCCGTGGAACAAACGGAAGGCAGATCTGAAACAAAAATATTTCAACTCACCTTGGAGAACTGTTTCTGTAATTGCTGCTACTTTGATCATCATACTCACTTTCATACAAACGGTGTGTTCTTTTTTCCAATGCGCTCAACGCTAAGTTTCCCATTTAATTTCTCCCTCTTCTTTCGCATTTAATTTCGAGTGTGCACTATATGTACTTGTTAATTTGCAGTTGCTTATCTATGCATGAAATGTAAATAATATGTCTCCTTTGTACTTAAAATAAAATAAATAAATAATATGTTGAGGAAAAGTCTCATTGTAGCTTTTCACCATGAGAAAGGTCATAGTGAGATTCATGAGTTTCATTTGACTGCTCATCAATTTTTAATGTAGTGCTCAACAATTTCAAATTCAGGCATCCCAAGTTTTGAGCCAGAAAGCACCAAATCTTAAGCGAACACTAAGAAGCTAGACACTCCTTTGCTTCATGTTGAACAACCCAACCTAAATTATATATTAACACAAAAAGTAGGAAAGGACACAAAATTTGTTCTTTCCCTTAATTTCCCCATTATTTCCTTTATCGCAATCTCCCTTCAAATATCTCCCAACCTTAATTTTGGTTCTCAAAAGTTTGTACATTTTTCCCCTTCATATAGACTTAACTAGCAATTTAGCCCATGCAATGCTGCGGGTTTTAAAACTGATTAAATGTGTGAAATATAGTAAATATATCAAAATATATTACATATGTTCAATAAGAAAAAAAAGAGAGTAAATTATAGTAATAGTCCATCAACTTTAATCAAATTGGCGCAATAGTCCATCGACTAAAAATCTATTATCATTAGTCCCTCAACTTATCAAAATGTGTAGCTATAGTCATTTTCATCAATTTGGTCAAAATTTTGTTAAAATAAGTTATCTTGGAATAACCATTTATATAATTAGGGTCCCTCAACTCATCAAAGTGACTAATTATGGTCATTTTCGTTAACAACATCAAAATTTTTGTCAAAACGAGTTATGTTGGAATGACCATTGCTACAATTGGGTTAAAGTAAATGGACCATTTCTCCAGTTGAATTAAAGTTGAAAGACCAATGATAATGAATTTTTAATTGAAGGACCATTACTCTAATTGAATTAAAATTAAGAGTCCATAGCTACAATTTACTAAAAAAAATAGATGTTTGTAGAATATATTACATAGAAAATGTATCTTGGTTACTTTTGACGTTGTTCTCCATTGCCACCAAGTACTTCACTCTTCTTTCTTCTTCGTTTTCCTGTAGATGGGGTGTGCATTTTTTAATATTACAGCTTTCAAGTTCATATTATAAACCACAACTTGGTGCCATCAACAAACGAACAAAAGGAAACCCAATTAAAACCATATTGCAATCCAACTAAGCTCCCACATCTTAGGTCAGGGTTGTCAAATAACTTATAAACTGTCAATTTCATCACCAACATTACTTGTTTGAAATTTCATTTATTACATGTAAGACTATATGCAAGCCAAATCAGATTGTGATTTGGAAAATATCCGGATTCTTAAAAAGTTAATGCAAAATATTTGCATTTAATTACCAACTAATCAACTATATGACAATAAATTACCAATTTTAATCAACTCAAATTTTGAATCCCATAAAAAAGATAATCAAAAGTAAATTCAGCAAACGAAGCTTATTAAAATTGTAAGTGAAACAGTTAGAGCAGTAAGCATAACACACTGGTCTGAGTTCTACCAGTATCTTTTATTGGTTAATTGGTTAAGCGAAAGATAATCAACCAAGCAGGAAGGGGTTCGAACCCCCTTGGCTGTAATGTTTTTTTTTGTTTTTTTTTTTAATAATATTTTGGTTCGGTTTTCGAACCTCAAAAACCGAAAGCGAACCAGCCAGATTTGGTTCGATTCGATTTAACAGTTTTCGGTTTGGTTTTTTTTGGCTTCAGTCTGGTTTTCAGTTCCTTTTTTTTTCGATTTTCGATTTTTTGAACCCCTAAAGGAAGGGTGGTATGCACCAAGTTATATAGATTAAGATTAACTCCCCCTCCAGATATATAATTCTAGCAAATGTTCAACAAAAATATATGAATTTATTGTACTCATAACCCAAACATATCTAATATCATCATGTGATGAAAGAAAAGAAAAAAAAATTATCTTCATAAGAATTTGGTGGCTTCTGTTCTACATTACTGGATAATTGTGAAGAATTTCAAAGGTTTGTAACATTCCATAGTCGTGAGGGATTCGTATATGGACAGAAGATGAAAAAAAAAAAAGCAAAATCTTTTATTTTTTTTATATATGCTTGTGAATTGAATTGTACATCATAAATTCACCATGTATGCAAGGTTGTATTACAGCATATACAGTCATTTTTCTATCAGTGTCATGGTACAATATTGTAAACTAATTAATACAATTTTTTGCCTCTTAGTTGATCAATTTTTGAAATTTTAGGTATTGAATTATGTTTAAAAAATATGAAAGAGACAAACTAAAACATGAGCTCACCCATGTTCCTCCCGGAGTTTAATTATGCAGGATGGTTGTAACAAATCCCATTTAATTACATTTCAACTACAAACATGGAATTAAAGCACCAAAATAAAAAAGTAAACAAACAAATTACAGTAAAAGATAAAGATGGACCCTGTTTATATTAGCATAAAATTCTACTTCATATTCAAAATATTACTACCAAACAGTATGTCAAGCTAAGAATATTATTACTCGTACGGCCTTCCTTCAAGCTTGTGTCCACAACCGGGACACTCCTTGGATCCTCACATCTAATGCTCTTCAAGCTTTTGCATCAATGAGATCGAACTTTTGATGGACCCAAAATTACTCTCACTCATTGCTCTTTTCAAATGAGGTGCTATCTTCTTCTTTTTCTCGAACTCATCAACATATACCGTCTTCGGAGAAATTTTCATCATCGTTGTAAAAACGCCTACTGCTCATATCCCAGCCGCTTTCTTTCTATACAAAATCATATACAACTTTGATTGAGATCTGCTGATGAATTATATGCACAAAAGGGTACTCTTAATAAAGAGTAATGAAAAACATATATATGTTGGATTGATTCTAGGAATTTGGTCGAAGATCAAAATACGAACTAAATATCAAGCAAGAAGAACAACTTTATCAACTGCTTTAATATGAGCCAAAAGCACTTTCTGCTTTCAGCATGATCTGGAAGTTGCAATGCTATCTATGAAGCGTTTGATACTCGTATTCCAGGGTCCAAAATGAATTAACTATTAAAATACAGATCTTTTAGGGATAGTTTTCAGCCATGCTTCCATAGAAATGAAAACTCAGAGCTTCTATTTGAAGCTAGTTAAAGTTAAAAAGATTATCATAATTCATTCAAATCTTTTAGTCCACGATCAAAAGTGCAAACCCTTCATAGATTTTTAGGCAACAATCAATAATAAATAAAATTAAGACGAAACGAAATAAAAAAAAAATGGAGATTTTTAAGAACCAAAAACTCTGCAATCAAACAAAATATAATCTACACAAGTGCAGAGAGAGAGAGAGAGAGAGAGAGAGAGAGAGAGAGAGAGAAGAGTGAGGGGGCTTACCATCCTTCAAGGCAACCATAACCTTCAGATAAAATCACACCAAAAAAAGCCACAAATTTAACGAAAATTTGTGCACAACCCAGAAACTTGAAAGGAAAAAATCCACGAAAAAGTAACTAAAACCCAATTATATTAAATCAAAAATTTGAAGCGGATCATTGAGTGCAAAAGATGCAGAAGGTACCTGAGGTTCTGAGGAATAGCTTGAGACCAACCTCGACGCCGATCTTCGCCGGAATCGTCACAAAAACGTCGGAAAACTCTTGAGGAGTTTTCGAATATCCTCTTCGAAACCCTAACGAATCGATGCATGCGACTGGTGTTTCTTGTTCCTAAGATGAAAGGGAGACGATTGGTGAAACGGTGAGGTCCGACTCGCCGGCTTTCGAACGGAAATAGCTCGCCGTCGTCATTAGCCGAGTGACAGAGATAAGAGCAGTTCCACCCTTAAAGACTTTGCGCCAGCAGCAGCGTATTTATCCAGTCAAGTAAACAGTAAAAGACCAAAGTATCTCCATTTATAAAAAAAATAACCTAGTCTATTTTATTAAAATATTATTATTTTTTATTATAAAATAATAATTTAATTTTAAATTTCTGACTTCTTCTTCTTCTTCTTCCCACTTTTCCCACTTTCTTCCTTGATTTTCCAACTGTGCGGTCAAGCACAGTTTTTCGGCAGATGAGGGCTTAAAGTTGGTGATGGCGTTGCGATCACGGAAGCGCTATGCAACAACGTCGTAGGCCCTGGCGGCCTCGTCCTCTTTGTTGAAGGTACCCAGCCAGACGCGCTGGTGCTTCTCGTAAATCTAGGCACCCCAGCGTCTGTTGGGTTGCAGGACCACGCCTTTACACTTGGAGGAAGGGAGCTTCCGGGACTCGGCCTCGACACCGCTAGTGCCGCCGCTGCTGCTGAGCTCGGGGTCGAGAATCACGCTGCTGGCGCCGCTGCCCTTCTTCTTCTTCTCTCTGGACTCCTTGCTTCTTCTTCTTCTCTTTGGACTCTCTGCTTCTTCTTCTTATCTCTGGACTCTCTGCTTCTTCTTCTTCTCTCTGGACTCCTTGCTTCTTCATCATCTCCTCCCCGGAGCTTGCCAGCCTATCTGCTCGGCTAGAGTGGATTGGCTGGGTGCCTGGCCAATAATTTCGCTGGGTGCCGGCCTAAAGGTTCCCCGGTGGAACTGCTCTAAGAGCGAGAAGGGAGAACGAAGAAAAAAAAAATATCAAAAAAATTAGGAATATATACTTTGTAAAAATGATGGCATACCTGTAATAACTCAAACTTAACATGGGTAAAAAGAAAATGATGGCATCACAGAGTTACACCAGGCGGTAGTCAAGTTTAAAGTGGGATCAGCCAAAAACTAGCTTGTCATCATCATATGGATCATTTCGTGAACACTGAAAAGGATGAACAGTTGCTAGCATGGACTAAGGAATTGCTGCAAAGTACTTCTATTTTGCTACTCTTTCTGAGGCCATCGGAATAGAAGAATAAAGTTGCATGAACTTGTTGAATACAACAACAAGAACAAATCCATTTTCTGAGTGTACTCTTTAAATTACTTATCACGAAAATAACAGTATTCTAGTTCTGCAGTCGACTACATATCAATGTGAGTATTTAGGTCATATAAACTTGAGAAGCTTACTAACCAATAGCTAGTTGGTACTCACGTCCTTTACTTTCTTTAGCCAATCTTTAGTGTAAAGAATTTGATGAAAACTGACATTACTTTTTAAGGTTCTGAAATTAAGTACTACAAAAAGAAAAGCCTTTATTTACATCAACGTCTTCTGAAATTCAACATTCATCTCACTTTACCCCATGAAATACAAGAATTCAATGAATCAATAACAATACAAATAGTTTCTATAATTTTCATTAGGAAATCCAATGAGGCCGGCCGTGTTCACATGGTCGTCACATAAGCCTTATTGACAACTGATCAGAATCCAGACTATTTCACAAAAAAGACACAAACACTATAGTTCAGACGATCTAATTCAACCACAAATTCAGAAGCCATAATTATTCAAATTTCAGTTTTGAATCATGTACATATATACCTGCTATGTTTTACGTTTTGTATCTATTAGTCTATATTGTGATTTTATATTATCATTAGATCAATAATCAATTTATAGATGCAACCTTGTTGATCTGTTTCCAACAACCTCCTTCAACGATCCAACTAATGGAGACTGGATTCACTAGACAAACTGATGATGTGCATCTCGTCGCTCCCATAATTTATTCACTCTGTATATATCTTATGGAGTCCCCCGTGAGTATTGTGAAATCGTTGAAAATATGCACTTACGGGCCTATTCTACTATGGTCAAACTATCAGAATGTGAAGGTAGAAAAGTTTCAGATTGGTGAAAGAAGAAACATTGCAATTGCTTATAAAAAGTTGAGCTACTCCCCGCATTGTCAATTGGTTTTATCGTGAAACCTCAACTTTCTTTATGGTATCAGAGGAGGTTGGCCCACGTGTGTGGCCCGACGGCCACACGTCACCAAATTCATATTGTCTATGTGTTTTTTTTGAAAATTCGTTACATGTGAGCAGACATGTGAGAATGTGAATGTAAAAGAGCCTCATATTGATGAAAGGAGAAAGATATTGTGCTACTCCCCATATAGTCATCGATTTTGTAGTGGAACCTCAACTTTCTTTACAAATAACCTTATTGGAAGGCAAATATTTCTTCTTCTTTGTTCGTTTTTATGTTTGGAAAAATAGATGCATCCACTTTTCTGTTTCAATGATACTCATTCAAATTTAAATGCTTTACAAATGGTTTAAGAATATGCGGAGATTTCTTGCTCGTATTGCAGAGCACCTCCACACCTAAAGGTAAGTAACTATTCGATGCCTTCTCGCCATTATATTAGTGTCTGTGTCACTATATGATAATATCTAAAATATGGTTTAAGAATATTATTAACTTGCTCGCCATTACATAAGAGTGTCTGTATCAGTATATGATAATTTATACTATTATTAAGAAAATTTTATTTGTCAACTTTTTTCCCCTTTCTCGCCATTACATAAGAGTGCTTGTATCACTATATGATAATCTATACTATTATTAAGAAAATCTTCCTTGTCAACTTTTTTCCCCTTTAGTAATTTTGTACATTTCGACAAAATAACAATCATATCCCTATTTTACCTTTTTTTATACTTATTTTTTCAATTTTACCCTCACTTTTGTTACACAATATTTACATAAGGAGGACAAAACAGTAATTATGTAACATTAAAAAAATATGTACTTATTACGAGAAATTGTTCACACACACAACGTATGCGCTCTTTGCTAGTACCATATAATGTTTCCTTTTACAATAATTTATAACCTGCAAGCCTCAAATTCTTTCGACAGAGGAAGTCTTGATTTCTGGTAAGCTTTTCTAGAACATATGGGTTTATTATTAAGAGAAATGTTAAGGAGCCTCTCTTAAAAGTGGAAGAAATTTTTTTTTTCTGTGCTCGTAACATAAGTGGTATATCACGTGTAATTATATAAATGGTGGGAAATTTTATTTTTTATATTATTAATTTTTTAACATATTGAAAAGTCTTTCCAAAAGTGGAACTCTAGTCTCTATGGACTCCTTGTCACCTTACGTTTTTTTATACAATATTTTATAACGATGACACGAGAATTGTATCAAAAATATAAGATGACAGAGAATCCACTGAGAATTCCACTTTGATAAAGTCTTCTTATCATTTCTCTATAATTAAAGTCGATTTTGTAGGACTTTAGACGATATTATAAGGTACAATTATTTGTTTAGACTATTAAATTCATGGGTGTTATAATTTGAACAAGGAAAGGAATACAATCATTAAATTTCGAATTATTAGTCATTTCAACTACATCTAGTTATCTCAATTCTCAAATACATGCGTTATAATTTGACAAAAAAAATATACATGCACTATAACATTTTCTATTTATTGTACTGAATTTGGCTTGGTTGCCAAAGCCACATATTTTCTTTTAAGTTTCTTCAAGTTATCCATGAATAGTAGAAATTTTTCTTAATCAAAATAAACTTTAATCATCCATGATTAATGATCGTAATTAAATAGCAGATAATGCTTGTGTTCCTCCGGAGAACCTATTTTTTTTTCCCACTTATGATTAATGTATCTTCGACTTATGAACTTCACAATTAAAACCGTTCACTATCTTTGTCATTATTCAAAGATCATATTTGCCAAAAAAAAAAATCATTCAATTTAGATATTGTTTTTCTATCCATACGTGTCAAATCAATTAACGATTTTGAATATTGAATTAAATCAACCATATATGTTTATAGTGGAAGAAAAATAAGGGTAGGTAGCTCGAAGAAATTGATTGATCAACCTGTCTACCTTTTGTAATGAAGAAATTATTAAGGTTTTACCCTGATAAAATCAATTTGTAAATCGGGGAGTAGCCAACTCTCTATAAGCACATGAAAAGTCCTCTAATTTTCTGAAGATGTGCTATTATTTGGAAAAAGTTGATATGCTTTTCATTGCACTTAAGTTTGAATAGAAGCTCAATACTTTTCATATCTGCTATGAAGTGATTTCGCGTACATCTTTTCTTTCTTTACACACTCGTGTTTATTATTTCTAGTCTTTGAACAATCAAAGGATAAAAACAAAATAACACAGGGATATGCATTTTTTGTTTCTTGAAGATTTTAGTTTTTATATTTGAATGGTTGTATGCATGCCTCTGTTCTACAATTATTGGCCTCATGCCCCCAATTATATAGTTTGTTAAATGAAAGTCTATCTATCTTCATGTGCCAAATGACGTAACCTTGTTGATGTCACTTTGCTATTGATTGTTGTCATCAGCCGAAGTTAAGAAGGTTAATGTTTGAGATAAGAACGGATTGGTTTCTCATATGAATGTCACATTTCATCAATTTGTGCACAACTTGAGCTAGTGGTTTATGCAAATTGGTTAACTATTATATTTTGATTTGATTATTTTTCTACATTCTAGGTTAATTTATGTTATTTGATATTTTCAATTTGTTTGATCATCTTCAATAATGCAGCTTTCTTTTTAATATCTTTGAGTTGAATAGTTTGGTTGTGTATGTGTGTTTCAACTTTATAAGTGTCCACTATTTAGTACAACATGTACTACTATATATTGTCTTCAGTTAACCACTTAGGCCTGATATATAGATGCCATCCGGCTCAATAAACCTCAACTGCGAAGTGTTATCATCAAAAGACTCCATATAATTAGGAATGAACTACTTATATTTAATTTTTGAATTATTAGTATACTTCCCCAATGTGAAATGCCTCCCCACATCCTCTTATCTTGTATGGAGCCAACTTTACACACCAACATCTATATGGCTCCACTTGAGCTGTCGGTGACGAATTAAAGGGTTACGTCAATGATTTGTTAGTTTTTTTTTTATTGTCGAATTAGTTTTGTTTGTTAACTCAAATATTTTTGTTTTTTAGACATCCGTAGAGAGAAAATATTATTTTTTTGCCTATGGAGACATGTTTTCGAATAATTGTATAAATGGACAATTCAATGATTTGTTAATTTTAGTTTTTTTTTATTGTCGAATATTTGTTAGTTTTTTTTTTTTTTTGGTTGCGAAAAGATCCAAAAAAATTTTTTTTTTGGTGGAACATGGCAACTCTATAAAAATACTACAAGAATACAAGTTTATGACTTATTATTTGCAGATACTACTATTTTGCTCTATATTTTTCTCTCATTCCACGTTGATTTAAAAAAAATATAAGAGGGTTGATAGAAGAAAGTAATTAAATTTGACTAAGCAAGCTCCTCATAAATATATAAAATAAAATTTACTTTTTTCGGGTGTGTATATTTTACAATTCTTGGATTAATTTTCTCTATTATCGAAAAATTTGTTTATTGTTGTGTCAGTTATCATCATCTCGTTGTCAGCAATTACGATTTGAAACAACAAAGATATCAGCATTAAACGGAAGGAATCAACGAAGCTACAAACGACATTGAAAACCCCCACATTCCGTTAGTAACTTCAACGAGTAAGGAGTTGGATGGTTTGCTTCCGTTGTCCGCTTCGTGTTGTATCTATAGAGTTCCTGAAGAACTACGGTGTGCAAATGAAAATGCCTACACACCTCGAGTAGTCTCTATAGGTCCAATTCACCATGGCAAGAAAGGCTTAGAAGACATGGAGGAACACAAGAAGAGGTACCTGCAGTATTTTTTAGATCGGACAAAGGTCCGCTTGGCAGATTATGTAACGAAAATAAAGGGCAAGGAAGCAGAATTGCGCAGTTGCTATGCGCAGACCATTGAGTTGAGCAGTGATAAACTCGTTGGTACCAATAGCAATGACCGCATCTTTTACAAACCATGGTTGAAAAAAATTATAAGACCTGATATGCTTTTGCTTGAAAATCAGCTGCCATTTTTCATTCTTGAGGATCTCTTTGCCACTGCGGAGGTGCCGGTGACGATGCCTTCAGTATTTGACCTCTCTTACACTTTCTGCAAGGTATCAACGAGTTTATATGTGAAAAGAGATGATTCGGGATCTTCTTCTAGTTTTAAAGTAGATCATGTTGTTGATTTGATTAGAACTTTAAATTTACCAACGGATGAGGAAGGGAATGAAAATCAAGATTCAGTCGAAACTCTGTACCCAGCATGAAGAAACTACACCAGGCAGGAGTCAAGTTTGAGGCAAGATCAAACGATAATCTATTTGATATATGTTTCAAAGATGGAATTTTGAAAATTCCAAATCTAAAAATACAGGATCACACAGAGTGTGTACTCCGAAACCTTGTTGCCTTTGAGCAATGCCATTGCGATTGCAACTACTTCAATGATTATATCATCCTCATGGATAATTTGGTGAACACCCCAAATGATGTGGAATTTCTTGTCAAGAATGGAATTGTTGAAAATCTGCTTGGTGACAACAATGAGGTGTCTACTCGGATTAACAGCCTTGGCAAAGGTGTTTTGGTGTTCAGAGATGAATTCTATTATGCTATCGTTGCGAAGGACCTCAACGACTACTACGAAAAGCCGTGGAACAAATGGAAGGCAGATCTGAAACAAAAATATTTCAACACACCTTAGAAAATTATTTCTGTCATTGCTGCTACTTTTCTCATCATACTCACTTTCATACAAACGGTGTGGTCTATTGCTCGCTAAGCATCAACACTAAGTTAGGCACTCCGTAGTTTTCCAATTAACTTCTCCCTGTTATTTCCCATTTAATTTCTAGTGTGCTCTATATATACATACTTGTTAATTTGCAGTAGCTTGTCTATGCGTGAAATTAAATAATATCTCTTTTGTACCTAAAATAAAATAAATAAATAATATGTTGAGAAAAAGTCTCATTGTAGCTTTTCACCATGAGAAAGAAGGTCATAGTGAGATTCATAAGTTTCATTTAATTGGTCTTTTCATTGCGTTCAATTTTTAATGTGATGCTCACCAATTTCGAATCCAGGCATCCCCACTATTGAGCCATAAAAGCACCAAATCTTAAGGAACACTCCTCAAAAGTTAATCCACATAAATTACTCAAAAGCTAGACACTCCTTTGCTTAATGTTGAAAAACCCAACCTAAATTATATATTGACACAACAAGTAGAAAAGGTCACAAAATTTTGTTCTTTCCTTTAATTTCCCCGTTCTTTCCTTTATCTCATTCTCCCTTCAAATATCTCCCCTCCCCCCCCCACCCCCCCTTTATATAGACTTAATTTAGTGACATTGTTATGTTTAAGCCAAAATCAAAAAGACACATGTAATCCTCTCTATTTAGGGATTAATTTTCTATTTAGGATGCATGTTGAATTAGGGATTTACGATTTAGAGTTTTGATTGTTTCTGGATTTGGATTTGGGTATATATACGTTCTATTTTCTGGGAAACTATACAGGTTTTACAGAGAGGGGTTAGAACTTTTGAGAAATAAAATGATTTTGAAAAGCTTTGTTTTTGCCCACTCACACTTTCTGTTTTGCACCCCTCCAAGTTCTAGTTTGGAGCGCTCTTTTGGTGGCTTACGAGGAATTCACGGCATCCCTGACAAATTATCACCAATGTAGGATCACCTTTGGGTGTTGTATAATTAGTATTCGTTCTTCTGGACTTCACTTAGGCTATTTGTGCTCTGATTATGTTTGTCACACTTAGTCTCATACTAGCGTATTACCTTAACTAGTTTATCTAGTGGTTTGGTTTTTATTTATTTGTAATTTTATTATTATTATTGTTTTCGCACTGTGCACACGGCTACGTCACCCTCACGTGACGGCCAGCACGTCTTGATTTTGGTTGGGATGTGTCATCATTCATGTCATCTTTTAATAAATAAATAAAACCTATTTATATATTTTTATATAGATGAATTTTATTATATAAATTTAATTAATTAGTGTGAAAATAATTTATTTATGTAAGGGCAATATAGTAATCAACCGAGTTTTCATTCCGATTGAAGTGAATTAGTAAATAACTTATATAGACTCAACATTATTCCTACTCCGATTCCGGATAGTTTTAGTAAACAACTTCACTTGGAATTCGATTCTGATTCCGCCTCACTTCAATTCCTCATCAATCCAATTTCTTTTCAATTCAATTCCTCTCAATTTAATTACGAATTAGTAAATACGTCCTTAGGCCGAAGAAAAACAGAAAAGTGATTTCTAGCTTGCATACGTATAAGAAGCTCCCTACTGCATTCAACTCATGCATTACTTTTCTGCACCAAACAGAAACAGGTTTGTAGCCATGGAAAATTATAAGGGCTTTAATTCAGTATGACTAAAAGCGCTCCTCGTGTCACTTTTAACTTGGAAAATGCTGGGTGGCTGCCTTCAAATCTTCAATAATAGAGCTCGCTTACAAGTTCTTACAGGAGACTGGCTGAATCCGTATGAGATCCCGAAACCCAAACCGATCTTTTTTTAGATGAATAAATTTTGAATGGTACAATGAGCTTGTTTAGGAGGATTCTCACCCTTAGCTCAGGAGAGGATCCTGATTCATGTTTATTGTTTCTAATCTTTGGACCAATTCAAAATAGAAGAAACAGAATTAAAAGAGGGATGCATATTTTGTTTCTTGAAGATTGTAGTTTTTTACGTTTGAATGGTAGTTTGCACGCCTCATAGGTGAAGGGACCATAGGTCATGGCCTTGGATGTCCTTTCTATCTCCTCATCTTTTGTGTAATCATGGTTAAACTACGTCAATATTTTATATTGATTTTTTTTATAAAAATAATAAGATAAAAATTAACAAAAATATAAAATGTTAACGTGATTTAATAGTGACGATACAAATAAAAAAAAATGAGAATAGCACCAAATCAGGAGGACAGACAACCTACCTTCCAATTATATTCGTCCATTAAATGAAAGGTCCTCCATCTCCACGTGAAGGGACCATTATTGTCAGATGACAATTAAATGAAAGGTCCTTCATCTCCACGCACTAGTAAAAAAAACACTTTGCACGACGTACGTACATTCGTCGCGCAAAGTCAAAAACCGTTGCCTAAGGGTTTGCGCGACGCAACCTTCGTCGCGCGCTAACCGTCGCGCCAAGGTAGTGACGGTAGGGTTTGCGCGACGAAGAAATAACATGCGTCACGCAAAGTGGCTTTGCGCGACGCATGGCCTACGTCGTGCAAAGCCACTTTGCGCGACGCACAGCCTACGTCGTGCAAAGCCATTTTGCTTTGCGCGACGCATGGCCTACGTCGTGCAAGCCACTTTGCGCGACGCACAGCCTACGTCGTGCAAAGCCACTTTGCTTTGCGCGACGCATGGCCTACGTCGTGCAAAGCCACTTTGCGCGACGCACAACCTACGTCGTGCAAAGCCACTTTGCGCGACGTGCGTCCTACGTCGTGCAAAGCCTCTTTGCGCGACGTGCGTGCGTCGCACAAAGTAGCTTAGTGGCTTTGCCCCGCTTTGGGTGACGTAGGGACATGCGTCGCACAAAGCCACTTTGTGCGACGTAGCTTACTTCTTCGTCGCACAAACCCTTTTTTTTTTTTTTGGCAAAAATATTTTTTATTTACTTTTTAATAAATATTGTAATTAAATTCTAAATAATAATTAATAAACCAAGAAAAAGTATTTAATTATAAAATATATGAAAATGTACATACAAGATGTCCGAACAAAAATAGAAAAAACTACAATAACTATCTTCTAGGTTTGATACATCAAGTTACTGGGTATCGGCTGGGCAAAAAGTGGCTAGGAGGTCAAAGATGGAGCAAGATCAAGTGATGGCATCGGGATTTGAAGACTGGACATCGAGATTTTGCTTCATAGTTAGCCTGCTCAGCTCCAAGGCATCAAGTAACTGCAAGAAATTGTGAAGATCAAATATCCTACACAACAATGCTTATTATATGAAAAGAAAGATAACTACTTTTTCCATCAACTCCATGCCTGCATATATTTAGTTTTTCAATGGGACCTCAATATCTATTAAAAAAAAATCTATTAAAAATCTATGCATATATAACACATTTTGGTATCAAATACCAGCAGCACAATTGGGTTTCTTTTTATTTTCTCTTTGTTGGCAGAAGTCTAAAAGCGATATTGACTAGAGCATATAGCAAACACAATTATTATTTTCAAAACTGATTCCTGATGGGGGTGGACCTCCTTAGTGAAATGGAAGCCCCACTCTAATTATACGAAGGCGACCCATTTGCACTAATGATAAGACTAAAGCAAGTTGTAATTAATTTGAAACCCATCCTAAACTCAAACCCTAAGATTATCTAGCAACTGAAATTAAGTGAGATTCAAAGACAGAATCAAATACAGAATTTTTGTAATGTTATTTACAACTTGAACTACAATCCTTTTGTATTTCACGATTTATCCTAATGTGTGCTAGGAAATGCTAACAATCTTAAGATTCCTCTTCCTGTCACATTCAAAAAGGTCATTTCTCCTAACTTTTGTATGTACAAGTATTTCATTGTTACATGTTATACCAAGTCAAATAATTAATTAAACTTAACCAGATGAAAGAAATATCTCTTTTAATCAACAGAGGTGAGAACTCGAATTGAAAAGTTGTTTTCAATTGTAATAGAGATTATTACTAAACCAATACCTAATTAGTTATAATATGAAAAACAAAACATCGGAGCGGGAGAAGAATTAAGAGAAGAATAGAAAGCATGTCGATGTGCAAAAAGCGATTAAAAAATTAGAAAAAGTAAAGAAAGGTGGATGGTTTTACTTTGGTTAGTGCCTTTAGAAAAGCCTATTCTCATTGCTCTGAACCCACATGTTACTGGTGCTTTAGCTCTCAATTTTTTCATGTACCAAATTCCAGCTCCAACTCCAAAGGCTCTTGCAACTGTCACTCCACTAATCGTCCCTGCAACATTAACAAAATACAAATCCAACTTATAGTTAAGCACACAACATCCAAGCTATACTTGAATTTATGAAATTTTATTAGTGCAAAATCTCAGAAGTGAATCACCTGCAAGTACTCCATTCCTCCTATGCTGAGAAAAGCTATGATCTGCATCCTTTAGATGTGTCCTGACACTGAAGGCAACGGGTGGTCACCGGAATATCAAAATCGACGCGAATTCCATATTCGGGGACTTGATCATCCGGTTGGTTTTCACCAGCGTTTCTCCAATACACACTAGTATAAGTAGCACAATACTTCAACATTAACCTCAGAGACTCAGTGGCTTTGGGATAGTAAGAGCAGCAAGAACTTGTCCTCAACGCCGAGGCACACTCAGGCAAGTGCCTGCAATGAAGGGATCGGTGAGAAGAATGTGAGGGTCGAGTTTAGAGGATTCGGAGCATAAGAGGATCTACTGATTATTGGTGTTCACTTTAATGTCTTTTTCTCTTTTTCCCTTTTACTTTATCTGCTTTTATTTATGCTTTGTGACTGGTTTTGCTTGCTTGGTGCTTTTGCTTTATGGGAGTTTATTAAGAGAGAATGTACATTTTGACCAAGCAATTATGATAGAATTAGAATATAATCCTATTTAGGTTTTCTTTTTCTATGGGTATTGTAATAGAGATTATTACTAAACCAATACCTAATTAGTTATAATATGAAAAACAAAACATCGGAGCGGGAGAAATTACAAACGTATCTAACAAAGAAAGAGAAAGATGGAGCCTTCACAAGGGTTGTGTACGTGAGGCTCCACTACGTGGCAACACTCTCGGAGCAAGAGGCATCGGAGCGGGAGGCACAGAAGGCATCGGAACGCTGGATGACCCAGGAAAAAGGTGCCTCTGGAAGAAAGCTGCAAGCCTTTGACGGTCATCAAGCTCATCAAGCTTCCTCTTCATGCCTGTCGAATAATTGTTGGCAAGCACGTGCAAACTTCGGTTCTCGTACTTTAGCTGTTTGATCTCCTGCTTAAGACACTCCACCTCCGCCATCAAGGATTCAACCTGACGGGAGCGAGCAAGAAGGCGTTGGCCCATGTTGGACACAGAGCCAGCGCACTGAACGCTAAGAGCCAAGGACTCTTGAACGGCCAACTCATCGGACCGTCCTGAAAGCAACTGACTATCTTTGGGAGTGAGGAGGTTCCGAGCTACTATCGTAGCCGTTGTTGCATCTGTCATCACAGAGTCCTCATTTGTAAGAGGGCCATGAGAAGATAAGAAAGACGGGCACCATACCTTATCCTGACGCGGCGCAACCGAATCATTGCTTAGACTCAAATTTAAGCAAATGTTCGATGGGTTAGATGAGCTAGCCATTTTTCAAGAAGTTAAAAGAGAAGGGTTGGATGGAGTGAAATCTCGACGGGCCGGAGACGATTTCTGGGCAATTTTCAAGTGTGCATGCTAGAGGTGATCGATCACCTTTATTAAAGGAGAGGCGTTCACCGATTCAGAAATTCAAAAAGCCGGAATTTCCTGCGCAAAGTTCGGCGACGATCTCTCGGCTTTTCAGAAAACGCGTTCACTTTGTCAAAAGATCTCTGACAAAGTGAAAACACGTGGAGGCCATCATCGCAACTACACATCTTTAGCCGACAAACGCAAAGTTCGACGACGCTTTCTCTACTTTTCAGAAAACGCATGCAGCTTTGTCAAAAGAGCCGCATCCGCACTACTACGTGTCGTTCAGAAAGCGAAGGGGCGTCGCTCAGAAATCGAAGGGGTGCCTGCTCAGAAATCGAAGAGGCGTCGTTCAGAAATCGAAGGGGCGCCTGCTCAGAAATCGAAGATGCGTCGTTCAGAAATCGAAGAGGCGTCACTATTGGGAAATCCATATATATGTCGACCTTCATCTTTTATGGCAAGGCAAACCTGAAGAAAATGCCCAACTCTTCCTCACTTTTGAGGGCGCACTCCCAGCAAAGCCTTTCGAAATACTCAATTTTTTCTTCTTCCCCAAAGATGATACCAGATGCCTGGAGTACATATGACCCAGGAGGAAACGGTAGATGGAAGCATGTGCTGATTCATTCACCGCTTCTTCAAAAGCAAAGGTATCTCATATCATCAAGGTCAAAAGCAAAAGTATCTCATATCATGCTCTTTCCCTGTCCTTTTCTTTGTCCTTGTTCTTACTCGCATGGCAAAGTGAAAGAAGCAATCAGCTGGCACTTGGAGTCAGTCTTCCGATCTGGAACCAACTGCCTGGAATCCCTTCCCTGATTGCTTACCTAGCGTTGCTCTCGAGTAGTCATCTTCAACGGTTGATACACTTCCAGAGAAGGGACCACTTCTGCAAAGGGGAGCAAGTAAGGCAAGTGAAAATGATACATTGAAGCATGTGGAGACAAGCTACAACTGCGTATGCTGAGCTATCCTCTAACCCTCTTCAATACGAATTGGAGAGATTGAACAAAGAAACAGAAAAAAGGGAGGAAGCTCAGACCTTCGGGGGAGACCAAAAGAATCCTGCTGCTCAGTTCAAGAGTAGCACAAAGGAAAATCAACGAGTGGAGGAGACCAAAAAGAATTCTCCAGCCCAGTTCAAGATTAAGCCTGTGGAATCACCAAAGATCAACAAAGGAAAATCAACGAGTGGAGGAGACCAAAAAGAATCCTCCAGCCCAGTTCAAGAGTAAGCCTGTGGAATCACCAAAGATCAACCCATCTTCAACGAGTGGAGGAGACCAAAAAGAATCCTCCAACCCAGTTCAAGAGTAAGCCTGTGGAATCACCAAATTCACCAAAGTGCTCAAAACTGCCCAGATTGTGTTTTTAAGGCAGTTTTGAGTGTTTTGGGGCTGTTTTGAGTCCTTTCGTTTGTTTTAGTGTTTTAAATGTTTTGTTTTGCATTCTTTGATAACCTATTTATGTATGTTTATTGAGAGTGCACGCTTAATTTTCAATGAACATGCTTTGTTTTATTTGTACCCGTTTTGCTTATAAGTACAAAATAAATAAATTAAAATCTACTCAGTAAATACATAAATAAATTAAAATCGTCAATTTAAAACATTTACACAAGTGGATACCACAAAAGAAAAAGGCAATGCAAAAACCCCAAAAGAAAAGAAAAAGGCCAAAACCAAAAAAAAAAAAAAAAAGGGACTTTGCGTGACGTAGGTACATTTACGTCGCGCAAACCTGTTTTGCGCGACGCAGTTGTACATACGTCGCGCAAAGTTGGGAAAAAAAGCGGTAAAGAATTCTTTGTTTGGCGCCAAAATCTTGCACGACGCATAAACCGTCGCGCAAACGGCCCTTGCGCGACTAAGCTATGCGTCGCGCAAAGCGGGTTTGCGCGCCAAATCTTGCACGACGTTTGGCACTTTGCGCGACGATCCAACCATCAAACTAATTTCAACGATCCAACCATCAAACTTGTTTGATGATTTTTTAGAGCTACACTCTTTAACCCTATATGAATACAATGAAGTAATTCGATCGTCAATTTAAAACATTTACACAAGTAGATACCACAAAAGAAAAAGCAATACAAGAACCCAAAAGAAAAGCCAAAAAAAAAAAACAAAAAAAATCACTTTGCGCGACGTGGGTACACGTGCGTCGCGCCAAACAAATTTGCGCGACGCAGGTGTACCCATGTCGCGCAAAGTGCTTTTTTTTTTTTTTTTTTTTTTGGCTTTTCTTTTGTCCTTTTGTTTATGAGTACAAGATAAATAAATTAAAATATACTTTCTAAATATATATACCATTGAACTTGATGGGAAACACATTCTATGAAACTAGTTTCAACGATCAAACCGTCAAATGTTTGTATATACTTCGAGATCGCGTACGCCAAAAAATCTCAAAAAACAAACATTCAGAGATCAAGTAACGGGATAAAACTTTTCGACGGTTATAAACAAAAAAGCACGATTCAACGATAGTTTTAACTCTGATTTTGATGATTTTTTAGAGCTAAAGTTGGGGAAAAAAATGGTAAAACATTCTTGGCTTGGCGTCAATATCTTGCGCGACGTAGCCGAAGTCGCGCAAAGTAGCTTTGCGCGACAACACTTTGCGCGACGAAGGAATGCGTCGCGCAAGGATGTTTTGCGCGACGTATGTGCACCTTCATCGCGCAAAATCGCGTTGCGCGACGCATTCCTTCGTCGCGCAAAGTGTTGTCGCGCAAAGATACTTTGCGCGACGTTTTGAATTTAACGTCGCGCAAATGTGCTTTGCGCGACAAAATTTGCTGCGTCGCGCAAACATGTTTTTGTACTAGTGACGTGAAGGGACCATTATTGCCGGATGATGTAATCTTGATGAATATCACGTTCCATCAATTTGTACACAACTTGAGAACTGGTTTGACTGTTTGTAGTTTTATTGAATGAATCTAATGCTAGCAGTACTACGTTAAATTATAGAAAAAATATCAATATACAAATTTATAAAAATATCGATATAACGATATCGGTTGATTTTAATAAAAATTTGCTAAAACTTGCTGTTTAGTACTACGATCTAATAATATTTATCTTTATTGTTAGCTTATTGTGAGGGTCTTAGCTCACTCCCACACTCCCTTAGTGTAGATAATATTGTTTATTAAAAAAAAAAATTTGAAATTTTAGGAAATATCATATGGCAATTATCAATATTTAACTAATATGTCGAAAATATTAACAAAAACTGTCAATTTTATCTTAAATTTAAGGGTTTCCCTAATATCTTTTGAAGTTTAGACTTCACTCCCCCATGTCTTTTTCTGATTTATTTTTTGATATTTTTACAGAAATGTTAACCGTATCAGGGAACTTTCAAACATTGTGAATAATGGAGATGGAGGATACGAAACGCCTCAAGTACCCTTCCTTATATAGCTGTCTTGGCAAGCCAAACTGAAGTTGCTCGTTCATTCCACCACAAATATTGTCCAGGGCAAATCCTGTTGGTTGGATTTGCTCTCATGTCTCTCATCCCGATAAACCACTAAGCCCATCTCGCGGCAATTATTATTGTGCTACAAGTGAAGGAATTTTTTTTTGAGAAATGTTATTGGTATTTTAAAATTTTTATTTTACATTCTTTATAAGTGTTTTTTTTTCTTCTTCTAAATATAAAAAATTATGAATGTAAATGAAAAATTTAGAGTACCAATATCAATTCCTTTTTTTTCCTTTTTTTTTTCTTCTTCTGTAAGTTACGAGGAAGCTAAATTAATGGATCACAACAAGTGAGATAAATCTGGCTCCCACAATATCGAGACTTTTCCAAATTTACGTTTTGTCAAACTGTCACCACATTAATTGGACAATTAGTCTCAAGCACTTTTGTTTTTAGTTAAGGAAAGACAAAGGTTAGGTAGCTATATGATGAATCACGGCGTTAATTTAATATGGCCCATTAAACACGTTCTGCAAAAACATATTGAAGAAGAAATGCTTATATATAGGTAGCATATCATCGTG